AGCTACCTTAGCCCTTATTGAGCCACTTAGCTCCCACTGAGCCAGTGAACTCCCACTGAGCTAAGAGCCCTAGACATATACTTGAAAAGACGCTAGAAACTATTTCTATCCATAACTGCTTATGGTGTCCTTTCTTAGCTTCGACAATTTTGTTTAGTGTAACACTAGTCATTTGTGAAAATCTTTAAGAACTTTATAGGAAGGGATGTGATCCATCGTCATTCGAGTCATTTCCAAATGGCATCGAGGTCTCCGTCAAGACATATTTTATTCTTTGTGGAGCTCATTATGAAATATTAGTTTCATAAGTTTGATATGATCACTTGGCTCAAGTAAACGTTGCTTCATCTCATCTAGATGTTTTGATATCGTGCCAAGTCGATTCTATACTTCATTGAACATTTGAGCTACTCAAGGCCCAGTTTGTTCACATTTGATAAATGTAGCCACATTCTTTCAAATTCTTGTGAGACGTTGAAGTAATGGAAACCTTTTTAGCTTTTGGAGTCAATTGTCTATGCCAAGCACAATAGCTCATTTCTTTGTCGATTTCAATAAGTAAGACTTGCTTGTCTTAGAACGATTCCGAATCGATCAACTATCAAGAGTCTATCTAATACCCTTGAGTATGTTCTTATCGATGTGACATTGCTAAAGATGTTTGGAACACAAATCATGTCCATGACTTGAACCTTGTGAGTTTTCATGTTAGGGAAATGTTTGTTTATAATCTAGCATTCTTGACTCATGGTTTAGACAACCATGCCATTCAAATAAAACCCGCAACTATTGCTTTTTTATTGAATGTGAGTCTTTCTATGTGTAAACGGATCGTTTGCTGATTATGGAACACAATAACCATTATTCGTTCCAACCTTGGCTTAAAAGGACTTTAAACAAAACAAATAACCTTACAACTGATATAGCACTACTTGCTTCATTCTAAGCTTGTAAGTCAATAACTTAGCATGATTTCAATGGTTTGAGGTCACTTTCAAAGTGGAACACTCAAGCAGTATCCAATACTTATGAAGATAACGAATTGCTAAGTTGACCATAATAACATGAACTCATGGGTAGAAAAGGAATCTTCACTAGACGAAAATCCTAATTTGGCACCGGTTCAAACCCCCCCTAAGGCACCGGTTTTGAAATGTTGGGGATTTAAGGGATGCCAAATCCTCAAAAATTTGGCACCGGTTCAAAACCGATGCCAACTAATATATTAATAATACTAATTGCCTTAGTTGGCACTAGTTAACCGGTGCCAAATGCTTTAGTTGGCACCGGTTAACCGGTGCCAATTTTAATGGCGCCAGTTTTTTTATTTATTAAATTCTATGTAATAGGCACCGGTTTTAAGCATGAACCGGTGCCTTTGACTTTTTTTTTCGGCGATAATATATATTAATATTAATACTAATAAATATAATAATAATGAGATCATGTACATAATACCGATAATTAATAATAATAATAATTATTATTATTATTATTATTATAATATTAATATTAATAATAATTATTATTATTATTATAATATTCATAATAATAATAATTATTATTATATTAATATTTATTATTATTATAATACTAATAATAATTAGTATTATTAATATAATAATAATAATAATAATAATAATAATAATTGAAATTAATAACAAGGACATAAATATTGATAACAATCCCAAAATATGATATTAATTAGAAAAATGTGTTATAACTACAAACAAACATAATTAATTAGTAATAATGTAGTACACTAAGCTATTTAGAACAGAAACAAAAGATATTTACAAATTAAATGTGATGTAGGCCGCCAACATGTCTCAAATTACATTGAGTTCCTCGCTCGTGAACGGATATCCTGTTTGTCCCTTGCAAAACTTAGAATACATACACAAAACGTAAGTTAGTAGGAGTGAACTCATTAATAGTCGTAACATGTCTTTATCACTTATTTATAGGTAGCCAAGGCTTGAAATTACAAGAAAATAGCACTTAAGGGGTTTTAGAACGGATTTTCAACCAAAATGGCCCGAGTAAGGCAATTTTGACTACTAGGATGCCTATTTCCTACATTTCTTGTCAAGTGAACTCATAAATAGTCATAACATGTCTTTATCACTTATTTATAGGTGGCCAAGGCTTGAAATTACAAGAAAATAGCAATTAAGGGGTTTTAGAACGCAATTTCAACCAAAATGGCCCAAGTAAGGCCATTTTGACTACTAGGATGTCTATTTCCTACATTTCTTGTCAAGTGAACTCATAATTATTAATAACATGTCTTTATCACTTAGTTATTGGTGACTAAGGCTTGAAATTACAAGAAAATAGCATTTAAGGGGTTTTAGAACGCAATTTCAACCAAAATGGCCCGAGTAAGGCCATTTTGACTATTAGGATGCTTATTTCCTACATTTCTTGTCAAGTGAACTCATAAATAGTCATAACATGTCTTTATCACTTATTTATAGGTGGCCAAGGCTTGAAATTACAAGAAAATAGCAATTAAGGGGTTCTGGAACGCAATTTCAACCAAAATGACCCGAGTAAGGCCATTTTGACTATTAAGATGCCTATTTCCTACATTTCTTGTCTAGTGAAATCATAATTAGTCATAACATGTCTTTATCACTTAATTATTGGTGATTAAGGCTTGAAATTACAAGAAAAAAGCAATTAAGGTGTTTTGGAACGCAATTTCAACCAAAAAAGCCCAAATAAGGCCATTTTGACTACTAGGATGCCTAATTCCTACATTTCTTGTCTAGTGAACTCATAATTAGTCATAACATGTCTTTATCATGTAGTTATTGGTGACTAAGGCTTGAAATTACAAGAAAAGAGCAATTAAGGCGTTTTGGAACGCAATTTCAACCAAAATAGCCTGAGTAAGGCCATTTTGACTACTAGGATGCCTATTTCCTACATTTCTTGTCAATTGAACTCTTAAATAGTCATAACATGTCTTTATCACTTATTTATAGCTGGCCAAGCGTTCAAATTATAAGAAAATAGCAATTAAGAGGTTTTGGAACGCAATTTCAACCGAAATGGCCCAAGTAAGGCCATTTTGACTACTAGGATGCCTGTTTCCTACATTTCTTGTCTAGTGAACTCATAATTAGTCATAACATGTCTTTATCACTTAGTTATTGGTGACTAAGTCTTGAAATTACAAGAAAAGAGCAATTAAGGCGTTTTAGAACGCAATTTCAACCAAACTGGCATACCTCTTCAAGCTGTTGTGTGTCTGTACAATGACTCACTATGTCAAACATGAATCTCATCACGTATAGACCACAATCAACTCCGTTATCTTGTTGTGCGCATTATCATGAGGAACAAAGTACCTGAATCAAACATACATAGCAAATTAGCAACATCTTACGCATTGTATATTACGAAAATCACAATATCATGTGGCATTACCATCGGTGATTTCCATGTAGCACCTCGAGGAGCTCGAGAATTTATCTTCTTCATAACACTACATAGAAAATTAAGTTCAAATTTGATTAGTATAATTAATATATATGAGTTAGGTTATGATAATCAATAACAAGAATTGAAGCTATGTATATTTACTTTTGTAGTATGGACTTCACGAGGCGCTTTCTTGGTTGAGGTAACCGAGCATAATCAAAGAAGAAGATTGTGTTACTGGAAACACAAATCACCAGTAGGGTCCAATGATAACTACATAAATACATTCACACGAGACAAACAAATCAATAATTAGGCAAGTACAGCATATAAACAGGGAAAACAAATGAATTTGACAAGCATAATCTAACGTACTCCTCATAATATGGGGCAAATATAAACATGTCTCCCGCACGCACTGATTCCTTGATACCCCGTTCAACGTAGTACAACACGTCCTTGTGGTTGCCTAAGATTCTAGCAGTGGAGATCTGCTCTGGGCATAACTACCCAATTTGACATGGAGAACCAAGCTTCCATAAGTGCTCCTGAAGTGCTCTGCATGCATGATTATAGAATGTTAATTGAAAACCAACCGACAATCACCACTAAACTGAATAACATAAATTGAGTACTAGTTGAATTACCTGATGCATATTTGAATGAGGGAAATGTTAAGCATTGCACCACTTAGAAATTCCTTCACATCTTCTTTGAATAGCCATGCCATTGCATCATCATCGTAGTGGAACATTTCCTTAGGTAGTGGAACTTGAATGGGGCTGTCACTAGGCAACACGCAAACACGGTTGTGCAGATAAGTTAACTCCTTAGAGAGCGATTAAAGCACCGTGTCTTCAACTAGTAGAGTAGCTTGCATAGCTGAACCTCGTGAAGAGCTCTTGTTCGACGCTTTTCCACTCACCGAGCCATGTTCACTCCTCTTCTTTGGCATCGGTTGATCAAAGCTTTTTGGCCCCTCCACCCTCTTCTTTGGAGTTTGGCTTTCCTCGATGGCTAATAAGACAAATCACACAAATGGTTAGAAAAGAATTTCATCCAACTCTTGGGATGAAAATCAGGTATAGAGTAAAGCGTGAACTTTAAAGCTTAATTACCTTGTTCACCAACCGTATCCAAGCACATGGCCATTGCAAAAAACTACCTTTTGCCGCCCAAAGTGTAGTAAACTTATCCTCCTCTACGGGCACAGGTATTAGGATGTCCTCGAACCCGGCAACCACAGAATGGATCCCGACCGAATAATGCTCAGGTTGAAGCGGTCGCAAATGGACCGTACCTTGTTCGGCCGGTTGTGCACTACCATATGCAACGACATTCAATCCTCCACTAAGCGATTCGCCCGGGTGAAGAATTTCACAACGGGTCTCTTCCTGCACCAATTTGGAATATCACTTGTAAGAAACAAGTAAAACAAAAAAAAGGGAAGAGCAAAACAGCTGGTGCCTGCTGCCTGCACAACTGCTGCCTGCTGCCTGCAAAGCTGCTGCACAGCTCACAGGCAGGCAGCACAGTTCACAGGCAACATATAAACAGCAGGGACGAGCTCACAGCATAAACACAGGAGCAGTGAGCTCAGGAAATAGCATAGACACAGCACTGACACAGGAGAAATGAGCTCACAGCACAGACACAAGCTCACAGCAGGCAACACAGTTCACAAGCAACATATAAACAGCAGAAGTGAACTCACAGCAAAAACAAGAGCAGTGAGCTCACAGCACAGCTCAAAGCACAGACACAGCTCACAGCAGGCAGCAGGCAGACACAGCTCACAGCACAGACACGGCTCACAACACAGACACAGCTCACAGACACAAAAACAGTAGCAACACAACACAGAAACAGCACAACTCACAACATTACAGCAGGCAGCACAGCTCACAGCTCCACAGAAACAGCAGACACAGCTCACAGCACAGAAACAGCAGCAACACAGCACAGAAATAGCACAACTCACAGCATCATAGCAGGCAGCATAGCTCACAGCTCCACAGAAACAGTAGACACAGCTCACAACGCAGAAACAACAACAACACAACACTCTCACAGCACAACTCACAACATCATAGCAGGTAGCACAGCAGGCAGACGGCATCATCAGATCAACCATGAAAGCAAGCAGGCAGCAAGCACAGAAAAAGCATGACAAAAACAGCATGACAGAAACAACATGACAGCACAGAAACACGACAATAATAGCGTAGAAACACGACAATAATAGCACAGAAACTAGTCTTTACAGGAACGAAGAAACACGAAACAAACGAAGAACATTCACAGCACATAAAACCGCAAACTTCATCCAATATAAAGAAACAACACAACAAACTTCACAAATTCACTGCAAAATCAAAGAACTAAACAACTCACTTGTAGAACTGGAAAGTCATGAGGTATTGGATTTTCAAGCTCCCTTAAGTACGCATGTGCAGGATTACTAACCTGCAACAGTGTATTGATAGTGCGAAGCTAATTAGAACCCACGTAACTCAAAAAGTCAAAACTTATACATTAGAAACCACTTGATCATGTACCTCCTCGTATGTATGTATCTCATCTTCTCCTTGTTTTCGTGGGTGACTAGAAGAGTCGACCGGTGTAGTCGAGGAGAAAGGCAAGCTCGGCAAGTTCATTTGCTTTGCTCATGCATTGAACTCTTCTCGCATCTCGTTGCGCACTTGTTCCTTAATTGATGCCACCGTGGCATCCAAGTTGACCGGTGAGTTCACACTTGCCCGGGATCTCCCTGATTTGGTATATTCCGGACCCATCACCTTCTCCCATCCTAGCAAGCTCCCCCCTGCACCCAATACGCGTCCTAAATGGTAGGGCTTTCCCAAAGCCAAGGTGAAAGGGTCCTTCTCCACTGTTGGGACGAGCTTGCCTTCAACAAGCTCTTCAATGTAATCAAGCTGTAGCAAAAACAAAAAGGCGACATCAAGTTATTGTTTATGTAAAGTGATATATATGCAAAAGATTCATGCAGTTCACAATTCATAGTTGCTTACAAGTTTATCTGCCATTTCTTTCGTTTCCGGAGCCTTGATAGACCATTTTCTGATTTTCTTGTCACGAGAATGCAAAGAACAAAAGAAATCTCCGGCACGACTCACTAAGTACTGGTCGTGGAGTTAGAGGGAAATGTGGAGGACCCTAGAAACACAGTGGGGTATACTCCCTCACTCACCCACGTCTCCCTCCATTCATCAAACGTCATACACCCCATACGATGGTAGTATTGCTTCTACAATGCATTCTTGGAATTATGCTCCCTTATTTCCTATATAATTAGACATATTAGTTTCAAAACTACCAAAATATTAAATATATCATACAATTGTCATCAGAGTTACTTGAACTTACAATTGCTTCATTTTTGCTTTTTAGAAGAACGAAAGCATCCCAATCTTCCTTTGATATGCTAGGCCATATTTGCCATGGGAGTTTCTCTTCATCGATGACTTCTTCATCATTGCCACCTCCTTTCTTGTTCTTTGGTTTTCTCACAAGTTTCTTTGTGATAAACCGACAAACTAAGGTGGTCTTAAAGCCTCTGAATCTTGCCGCAAGTAAGGATTCAAACACCCTTCCCTTGGCATACTCAATTGGAATGTTAAATAGACTCTACAAGCAAAAATAACAGTCATCATTAGTTTGAAACTTGTCGTCGAACCCCTCAGCTTTTTGTTCACTGGTGGCCAAGATCTATAAGAGTAAAGTCATCATGTTTGACGTTACGCCTGATATTATCAACCCACTTACACCAGAAAAGAGCAATCGTGAAGTCACAATAATCAAGCTCCCATATTTCTTGAATTCGACCGTAGTATGACAACTCTGCATGAACAAGTGATTTATCCTTAGCACTTGCAAACTCCCTTGACAATGCCACAAGTGTTACACCACTGTTTTGGGTTGAGGATGATTTCAAATCTTGACGCTCAGTCCAAAATGTGTACCCATTTATGTCATATCCCTCAAATGAGCGAACGTCATCCCTAGGACCATAAGCAAGTCACCTTACTGTATCTGTGACACTCTCATACTTTCCACCCATCACTCGATCACGAAACCAACTCACAAACTTCTTATTATGCAACTACCACTAGTAGAAAAATTTAAAACCGCACCCCCCTTTTCGCACCGGTTATTGAAAACCGGTGGGAAAAGAAATGGGCGGGATTCTGAAAATTACTTTTCCCACCGGTTCCTTATAAACCGGTGCCAAATGTTTGTTTTTCCACCAGTTTGAACCGGTGCCAAAATGTTTTGTAAAAAAAAAAAGGGGAAGGAAGAGATTTCGCAACGGTTCAGCATAAACCGGTGGGAAAAGATTATTTAGGACCGGTTCGAACCGGTGCGCAATTTAACCCAGAAACCCGCCTAATTTTAATTACTTCGTGAAACCTTTCTTCTTCCTTCAATTCATTCTCCTGCATTTCCACACTGAGTTCTTCGCTCCTTCTCTCGTTCTCGCCTAGCATCACCATTGATGTCCTTCATTGAAGCGCACTCTGAGCTTTCTCACCTCCATTGCCGCCAAGGTCAATTTCTTTTTTCTCTCCATAGCCCTCCTATATTGAAACGCATTCAAAGCTTTCTCATCCCGATATATTGAAGCGAATTCAAGGGTTTTCTCACCTCCATTGTAGCAGCTTCGAGGTAAGATGTATTTTGGGTCTTCTTATTCTATTGAATTCGTTCGCAATATAGGGTTAGTCGTTGATTTTCTTTGCAATTACATAATTCTAGGGTTAATTTGCCTGCTGTTGTGAGTTCGAGAAAATGGGGTTTGAACCAGAATGAGGCTGAAGGGCGGTTGGTCTTAGTCTGCTGTTCTTGTGAATTTCGAGCTTGTTGTTGTGACTTTTGAGCTTGCTGTTGTATTCAAGTAAAGCTGCTATCTTTGATATGTGTTCAGTTGTAAATGTCGCTTATTGCAATGCTTAGGAAATGCAGGTCTTTGATATGTGTTCAGTTGTGGTGGTTCCATGTAGAGTAGTTTGGTTTCTAAGACTGGTGTTAGGAAGGTTGGTTATAGGTAAACTGTGAGAATTTTAAAAAGAATTCTTGCTATTATTTGTGAGTGAAAGTGGGAGTCCTAAAAGGATTCTAACTTTCCAAGGGTCACACAACATTTTTATTTCTATCAATAAGACTCTAAACTAATCTGCATATTCAATTGTCAGTGTATGTGCATCAATTACTAACATTTTTTCATTTTGAATCTTAGAGCAATGATATATCTTTCTTTTAAATTAAGTGTGATTAGAAATATTACGAGACAGTCGAGACTTGTGTTTTTCATCACTTGAAATTAGTAGTTTTTTTTGTAAATTTCTATTGGGTAATACAAGTATATATATATATATATATATATATATATATATATATATATATATATATATATATATATATATATATATATATATATATATATATATATATATATGTTGCCTGATATATATATTTGTGATGATAGGTTTTGGCTACCGTAGGTAAGTAGTAAATGATTGATAGATTATAGTTGAGAAAATCCTTTAGATAGTAGTTCATATATAGATTCTGTCAAAGATGTCATTGTTTGAGTAGCTTCTTGTATACATCAACATGCTTACATTTCTCTTATAGATTCAAGTTTATATTATTGTACATTTGTTTTACTTTATTGGTTGTGGTGTCATGGTCCAGGCTTATTGCATTATTGGGTAAATCATGACTCATCTTAGTAGTCAGGCCTTAGTAATTTAATCTTATTCCTTCTTTCTCATCCTTGACCATTCCACCATTCCTTTGTATTTTTTTAATGTTTGATTTCTGTGTCTCTGTTATATAATTGTGAATGTTAAGCTAATTAATGGTTGATTATTCTATGCTAATATTGGGTAAACAGGGTTGGTGATTATTCATAACTTGAAAATATTGGCAAATTTTTACATGTGTAACTTATACTGAACCGCACCCCACTGCAGAAACTGAATCACTTATGTTGTAATGGAAATTACATTATTTGATTTTGACACTTATTTAATTTTGACACTTATTTAATTGACCCCATATTGAACCGTTGTTCAATATGACTAGTATTGACTGATTTATTATTATAAGCTGATTGATTTATATAGACCTGAATTTGCGTTAAATTGCTGATCATTTAAACATGATTTGCACGAACGATATATTTCCCACCTCTACACCAGCTTCCTCATTGTTGATGCTTTAAAGGCTATTAATCTTGCTTGTGTGCATATTAGAATAGTTATCAATCGTATAGCTTGTGTCATTGAATGCTTTTGGTTGTGATTCTAATTGACAAAGCTTCATGAAAGGTTGTAAACAAACAACCAAACTCAACAATGGGAGTAATGGTGTTGAATATCAAACACTTATATAGTAAATAATATAAATAACCCATGCATCGACACCATAATGATAACTAATGAACTGGTGGGCTTGCATCGACACCATAATGATAACACTTATATATATATATATATATATATATATATATATATATATATATATATATATATATATATATATATATATATATATATATATATATATATATATATATATATATATATATATATATATATATATATATATTTTGTGCCATCCTCAAGTTATATAAGCTCTTGAATGCCTACTTAGAGTCAGTATGATTTGCTATAATGGTAGCAAACTTCACACAATAGTCTCATACTTCATATTAGTTCAAGTTATATAAACAATGATTAATTAGCAATTGTTAGTTTGATTAATGATGCGTTATTCTTTACCAATGTATGTAGGTATTAATTACTTACTAACTTTTGTTTTTTATTTTTAATTTTTTTATAGATTCATATGTGAATTGAAGCACAAGTTTAGCTTGAAGACTACAAATTTAGCTCAATTGTGGTATGAATTATAAACTTAGTCTATGTATCTTTTTCTTGATTCATGATGAAAGTTTTCTCATGCTATTACAACTTGTGTATTGTTTAATGACAAATTAATACAACAATATATAAATGCTTGCATCATCATATGCCTAGATACCCGTTCAAGGCTTTCTCATTAGGAGAAAGTCTTGAATAGTCCCCGGTTGGGACTGTTCTTGAACGTTTACTCTCACTTAGGTGGTGAATGTATGTCTTATTTTTTCGATTTTAAGGAACATCTTGGCTTAGCATTTCCTCGATCACCATGTTCTCTGGGTACATATGTGGGTAAGTTATTACCTACATTGTGTACTTGGAGAACTGGGGGGAATTGCTGCCGGATTTTCCTTAAAATTGGAAAGTCGACATACATTCACTAATAAGAGTAAACGTTGAAGGATGGGTTAGGTTGGAGTGATAAGGACCTTTTGGAAGCATATATGCATTATTGTATCTCTATGAATGTTATATGCATGGTGTGTGTTTGAATTTGATTTACATATATAATGGATGTAGCAATTATACATTCGTAATATGTTTCCATGTTTAGAGGCAATTTACTTAATGGAGAAGGATCGTGGCTGGATGTATGGTAGACGTGATGCTTTGGAATTCTTTGATGGGGTTCAAGAGTTTTGTGATAGGGCTTCATCTTATCAGCGCAGAATGGGTTTCGATTGCCTCTATCGTCCTTGTGTTGATTGTAATAATGTGAAGGTGGTTAATAGTGTTGATATCATTAGAGATCATGTAGTTTGTCGTGGGTTTAGGCTTAAATAACATGTGTGGATTTGGCACGGTGAAGAAGGAGAGTATAGTGGAGATGTTATTGGGAATGATGTGCATGATGATAGAAGCAATGATATTCGTGTGGACGAGGAATACAAGAATGATGAATTTATTGCTGATAATGGTGATGAGGATGGATTTGATGATGATCAGGTGGATGAGGTGGAGGATAAAGGGGTGAATGAAATGATGCGTGGTGTTGAAGATGACGTGTTTGAGTCGTTATCGGAGGCTTCTAAAAAGCCTTTGTATCCTGGGTGCAAAAAATACTCCAAACTATCAGCTGTGCTAACACTGTTTAACATTAAGTCGAAGCATGGGTTTGGTGACTCAGCACCTTTCACTGTTCCTAGACCTGTTGTACCAAATGACGTAGACGATCAAACCAATTATGTGCGATTAGACCACAACGAAGGAATATTAGAATGAGGTACTATTTTCAGCAATTTTGCGAGTTTAGGTGTTGAAAGTATTATAAAATGACAGGTTAGCCGAAAATGAATTAATTAATTGTCATAAGTATTATAATTAGGCAATTTAAATTTGATTTTATAACTGTACCTTACAAATGTATTTATAATACAACTACTAACGTGTTATGATTGTTATGGCAGGTGATTACATCTCATGGCGGACGATCAGGACCGTGTTTGTGTCGAGGATGTAGAGGATGAAGATGATGATGACTTATCTGAGGATGGTGATGAGTTGTATGATGTGAACAAGGAGCCTGATTTGGGTGAGGCAAAAGATCATGCTCAGGATGAGTTAGAGCGTAGGCTGGATGCATTTGAAATGGAGGGTGAACAAGCGCCTCCTATTGAAAATGCAGTTTCTGAGACGATTGGTGAGAACGCTACTTCCCACAATCAAAGCCAAGGACAAAGTGGAGGAGGGGTGAGGGAACCGTCAGAAAAAGGTGAGGGGTCCGACGACAAGTTTCAAGAAACCCGTAGGTCCCATGGTCCTAGAGTACGACAAGGTGGGCCAATCTGTAGGCAAATTCCGTCGTCCATATGCTATTCACGTTGGCATTTGTGCGCGTAAAATCCCGATTACATTTCATATGCGGGAAGTACCTCCAGGCTTGATTGACACATTTTGGAATGATACAAGGGCAAGTGTTTTATTTGCATATTTATACAATTATAAATACCTTTACTTTAATGTTATGTAAAAGGGGAAACTAATAATCGACTTTATTTGTGTTTGCAGAGTCTGTTTAATATTTCTAATGATGCCGCCAAGTGAAGGGTGTTTGAATCTTTGCTAGCGGAAAGATTCAGAGGCTTCAAGAGCGAATTAGTTCGTGGTTGGCTCACAAAGACTGTTGTGAAAAAACCAAAGAAGAAGAAAGGAAATGATGATGAAGTCATCAGTGAAGAGCTACTCCCATGGCAAAAATGGCCAAACATATCAAAGGATGATTGGGAAGCTTTTGTTATTCAACAAAGTACAAAGGAAGCAATTGTAAGTTTAAGTAAATTTGATTACAATTGTATAATATATTATCTCTTTTTGAAGTAATAATACTAACAATTCTAATTACGTAGGAACTGAGGGAGCAAAATTCCAAAAATGCAAAGATGAAGCAATACACCCAACGTATGGGATGTAAGACATTTGGTGAATGAAGGGAAACGTGGGTCAACGAAGGAGTATACCCCACTTCGCTACTAGGGTCGTCCAAAGGACCCTCTTCTTCCACGATCACTACGCTGGTGAGTCGTGCTGGTGATTTCTTCTGTTGACTGCATGCGCGTGACAAGGAGACCAGAAAATGGGCCATCAAGGCTCCGGAAACCAAAGAAATGGCTGATAAGCTCGTAAGCAACTACGAACTTGAGAACTCTATGAATATTTTGCATAAATATCACTTATGGATGCTATTGGTTTCTGTTTTTTTTTTTTTTTTTTTGCTACAGATTGAACACACTGAAGAACTGGTTGAAGGCAAGCTCGTCCCAAGTGTAGAAAAAGACCCTTTCACCTTGGCTTTGGGAAAGCCCTACCATCTAGGACGGGTAGTAGGTGCAGGAGGGTCATTGCTAGGGTGAGAAAAGGTGATGGGTCCAGAGTATACCAAATCAGGAAGATCCCGAGCAAGTGTGAACTCACCTCATGATTTGGTTTCCACGGTGGCATCGATTAAGAAACAAGTCCGCAACGAGCTCGTAAGTGAATTTAACGCTTGGGCGAAGCAAATGAACCTACCGACCTTGCCTTTCCCCTCGAATACACCCGTCGACTCATGTAGTCACCCAAAAGGACAAGGGGAAGCTGATATACATGGAGAAGATGATGCAAATGAGGTAGTTTTAAAACTTTTAGTTTTGGCATATTGAGTTATGTAGGATCTAAGGTGGCAGTCATTAATTTCTTGTTGCAGGGTGGTACGCCTACACATGCGGACTCGAGGGAGCTCGATAATCCAGCACCTCATCATTTTCCAGATTTACAGGTGATTTGTTTAGTTCTATCTTAGTGAATATGGGCACATTATCAATCTTAGTGAATATGGGCACATTATCAATTGTGTAGGAAACGACCCCTTGTGATATGTTTGGTTCTAATAACTGATCTTTCAAATTGGTGTAGGAAGAGACCCGTTGTGCACTTCTACATCCGGACGAATCTGGAGCTTTGTATGTGGTTGCATATGGTAGTGCACAACCGGCCGAACAAGGTACGGTCCATTTGCGACCGCTTAGGCCACAACATTACTCGGTTGGGATCAATTCTGTTATTACCGGGTTTGAGGACATCCTAATACCGGTGCCCGTAGAGGAGGAGGAGTTTACTACACTTTAGGCGGCAAAAGGTAGCTTTGTGCAGTGGCCATGTGCTTGGGTAAGGTTGATGAACCAGGTAATTAAGATTTTGGGTTCGTTCGGTACTTTATGCCCGGTTGTTTTCACAAGAGTTAGATGGATTTGTCTTTTCTAACCAATTGCGTGATTTGTTGTATTAGATTTCGCAAAAAAGACAAACTTCAAAGAGGAGGGTGGAACAACCAATAAGTGTTGATCAACCGGTGCCAAAGAAGAGGAGTGAACAAAGGTCGGAGAGTGAAAAAGGGTCGAAGAAGAACTCTTCGAGAGGTTTAACTTTGCAAGCTACTCCACTTGTTGCTGACACGATCCTTCAAACGCTGTCTAAAGATTTAACATTTCTACAGAACCGTGTTAGTATGTTACCTAGTGACACTCCCATTCAAGTTCCACTACCTAAGGCAATGTTCCACTTTGATGAGGATGCAGTTACATGGCTTAGCAAAGAAGATGTGAAAGAATTTCTAAGTGGTTCAATGCTTAACATCTCCCTCGTTCAAACATTCATGAGGTAATTTAATGCCAGACACTATTATGTTATTCAGATTAGTGGTGATTGCTTGTAATTTAATTTCCCATTAATATTTTGTTACCATGCATGCAGAGCACTACAGGAGCACTTACTTGAGATTGATTCTCCGTGTCAAGTAGGGTGGTTATGCCCCGAGCAAATCTCCACTACTAGAATCTTAGGCAACTACCCTGACGTGTTGTACTATGTTGAACGGGGTATCAAGGAATCATTGCGTGCGGGTGACAAGTTCATATTCGCCCCATGTTTTGAGGAGTACGTTTGACCATGTCAAATTCATTTGTTTCCCCTAATTATATGTTGTACACGGCTAATTATTGACTTGTTTGTGTATTGTTCATTCCTGTAGTGCACATTGGACCCTGCTGGTGATTTGTGTTCCCAGTAACACCATCTTCCTTTTTGATTCAGCTCGATTGCCTCATCCGAAAAAGCTCCTCGTGAAGTTTATACTGCGAAAGTAAATATAGCTATCTAGTGTTGATTAGCCTTACTTAACTCATTTATTATATTAGTCATACTAATCAAGTTTGAACTTACTTTCGATTGCCTCATCAGTGCCCGTTCACCTTTCGATGGAAATTCATCACGCAAACTAGCCATGTGCTCGTCTAAATATGGGTGAACATCTGCAACATGGTGCAACACATATAGGTGCGCTTGTAAGAACTTATCTCGATCAGGTGACATTCGTTTCGACCCGATTGTGCCATGACCATCAAGTCTCCCTTCGTGTCGAGAAGTAGGAATATCAATAGGTTTAGCAACGGTTATATAGTCAGCCACAAAATTACCGACCTCCTCAGCCACGGTCCCTTGAATCATACTTCCTTCCGGGTGAGCCCGATTCCTCACTTTATCTTGCAATGTACCCATATGTCTTTCAAAAGGATAGCACCACCGCATGAACACTAGACCGCATAACTTAATCTCACGCACCAAATGAAGAATCAAATGCACCATTATGTCGAAAAACGAGGGTGGGAAGTACATCTCAAATTTGCATAAAGTCACAACCACATCCGGCTGTAAAGCATCAACTGTACAAGGATCAAGCACTTTGCTGCATATTGTATTGAAAAACGAACAGAGGCTTGTAACAGCTTCCCTCACGTGCTTTGGTAAAATACCACGTATTGCAATTGGTAGGAAAACTTGCATCAAAACATGACAATCATGGGATTTCATACTTGTCAGCTTCAATTATCCATTTAAGGATACAAATCTCTTCATGTTAGATGCATACCCTGATGGAACCTTAATGTCATACAGACATGCACAAAACATCCGTTTTTCTACCCTTGACAATGTGTAGCAAGCCGAAGGTAAATAGGCCTTGCCCTCCTTGTCTTTTCCCTCATTAATCTTCTTCGACGCATCCGTGGCCTTTCCCTTTCCCTTGCTCTTTCCCTTTCCTGTTTTCGAACTCAATTCATTTTCCTTTTCCTATTCCTTTCCCTTACTAACCCTTTGCTGAACCCACAATTCTGAAATCGTCCCATGCACCCTTTACGTCCTTTGTCTTGCTTTGAATACTCATCAGCGTTCCCACAAGAGCATCACACACATTCTTCTCTTTATGCATTACATCAAGACAGTGCCTAACGTCATGTTCTTTCCAGTACGGGAGCAACCAAAAGATTGATTCTTTTTTAAAGAGACCAGTTGACTCCGCCGCTTTTTCTGATTTCCCAAAGAATGTTCATACACCCTTAACTTGAGCGTAAACCTCCTCACCAGTCAACGGCCTAGGCGCAGTCCCCTCTTCCGCTGTCCCATCAAAAGCCTTTTTCTGCCTACGGTACGGGTGATCGCGCCTGAGCAACCTTCTGGTCCACAAATACACCTCTTTGTGAGAATGATCAATGCGTCTTCTTGGCGTATCATCAATACAAATGGGCCATGCTTTTTTCCCTTTGTTCTTATACCCAGACAAGTTGCCATATGCAGGAAAATCATTAACGGTCCACATCAGAGCTGCACGCAATGTGAACATCTCATTCTTATGAGCATCAAACACGGAAACCCCTTCGTCCCACATCTTTCTCAAATCATCAACAAGTGGCGCAAAATAAACATCTATGTCGTTTCCTGGTTGCCTTGGCCCCGATATCAAAAGTGAAAGCATTACGTATTTCCGTATCATGCATAACCAAGGAGGCAAATTGTAGATGACTAAAAGTACCGGCCATGTGCTATGCTGGGTACTAAGAGTGCCAAATGGATTCATCCCATCCGTGCACAAACTAAGCCTTAAATTTCTGACTTCATCACCAAATTCCCCAAACTTCATATCAATGTTCTTCCATTACGGGGAGTCGGCTGGGTGCTTCAGCATTCTGTTTTTCTTTCTTCCCTCTGCATGCCACCTCAAGTTTTTAGCGTCTTGTGGTAAAGAGAACATACGCTTAAACCTTGGAATAATGGGAAGATACCACAACACCTTAGCAGGTGGTCCCTTCGTACCATTATTGCAACTCATGCGCTTGTAGCGCGACTTCTTACATCGTGGACACTCCTCCAATTTTTCATATTCATTTTGATAAAGAATACAATCATTAGGACATGCATGTATCTTCTTATACTCCAAACCAAATGGACACATGAGCTTCTTTGCGTAATACTAAGACTTAGGAATTTCATTCCCGTCGGGCAACATCTCACTTAACGCGGTCAACAAAGAAGTAAAACTACTGTCCGTCCACCCATGCTTCGACTTAATGTTAAAAAGTGTAGCACGGCTGATAGTTTGGAGTATTTTTTGCACCCAGGATACAAAGGCTTTTTAGAAGCCTCCAATAATGACTCAAACACGTCACCTTCAAAACCACGCATCATCTCATCCACCCTTTCATCCTCGACCTCATCCACATGATCATCCTCAAATCCATCCTCAGCACCATTATCAACAATATGTTCATCATTATTCTTGTACTCCTCGTCCACACAAATGTCATTGCTTCTATCATCATGCACATCATTCCCAATAACATCCCCATTGTACTCTCCTTCTTCACCGTGCCAAATCCACACATGGTATTTAACCCTAAACCCACGACAAACTACATGATCTCTAATGACATCAACACTATTCACCACCTTCACATTATTACAATCAACACAAGGACAATAGAGCCAATCGACACCCATTCTGTGCTGATAAGATGAAGCCCTCTCGCAAAACTCTTGAACCCCATCAAAGAATTCCAATGTTTCACGTCTACCATACATCCAACCACGATCCTTCTCCATTAAGTAAATTGTGTCTAAACATATGGCAACATATTGCGAATAATGTATAATTGCTACATCTATTATATACGTAAACCAAATTCAAACAAACACCATGCATATAACATTTATATAGATACAAAAATGCATATATGCTTCCAAAGGGTCCTTATCACTCCAACCTAACCCATCCTTGAACGTTTACACTCACTAGTGAATGTATGTCAACTTTCCAATTTTAAGGAAAATCCGGCAGCATTTCCCCCCAGTTCTCTAAGTACACGACGTAGGTAATTACTTACCCACATATGTACCCAGATAACATGGTGATCGAGGAAATGGTAAGCCAAGATGTTCCTTAAAATCGAAAAAAAAGACATACATTCATCACCTAAGTGAGAGTAAACGTTCAAGAATAGTCCCAACCGGGGACTATTCAAGACTTTCTCCTAATGAGAAAGCCTTGAACGGGTATCTAGGCATATGATGATGCATGCAATCAATTAAAAAACAATGGATTAATCACACATCATGATAGAAGTTGCACTAAAGTTATATCATACACCACATCCACAAAAGTGTGCAAACAAGAACTTATATATAGCACATAAAGTTATATCTATACATGAGTATCTATAAAGTCTCAACACTCTCCACTAGAAGGTCAATGCCAAGGTTAATGCTTCGCCCAAAAATTCCTCTGAATCTTTTTCATTATAGCCTATATAGAACACAAACAGAAAACCAGATTAAGGGAAAAGATAAGAATGATATTAGTGAACAAGAACAAAGACAGTCAGAGTAAGATACCTGGATGATTTCCGCCCATTCTCCAAACTAATGATATTGCCCTAGAAGCCCTTGACACCCATTTCTTAGCCTGAAATCCATATATAGTGAGAAGCAACTCATAATTAAAAAGCACCAAACAGCAAATTAAATAGATTGAAAGTTGAAAGGAGCATTGCTAGTAATTTTAAATAGATAAAATGTTTTTGAACGAACATATTGCAGCCTAGTGAAGTCTCCAGGGCAAGGAGGGGGGTACCAAAGACCTAGGATTGAATCCTCTTTTAATCAGTGCCATTTGTAACTCCCTATACTCCTATAGAATTTTAGAGCAAATATACAACATTGAACTTAGTGAGCACCACTTTAGGATTCTTTCTCTTTATTCATATTCTTATAAGTAGGACTGTACAAAGTGCAAACTTATTAACCATTGCAATATATGTGCTTTCTTTTAGTATACAAACTGATTCAAAATACTTACCGCTTACATATAATACCAAAGTTCGGAAATGATAACTAGTTAACTACACATAAAAAGCATTCCAAGCACCACAACACCCCTAGGTACGCTACTAAGCTAAACTAAGAAAACCACCAAACAGCAACAACAACTAATAAGGACTTACATTTGTGGAGGGGCAGCCTTGTGCGTTTAATGGAGGGGGAGCCTTGCGCGTTTAATGGAGTAATTAAGTAGCAATTGACAAACCCTAGAAATTACAAGAAACTTACAATTATTAAACTAAAGACCAATTCCTCAAATTACCCAACAATGGTTTTAATGCAATACATGGAGAAGCTAAGTCAATGGAGGAGAGGCGTTATTACTTACCTTAGGTCGAAGCTGCTTGAATGGAGGGAGGAGGATATGGAGAACTGAAGAGAAGAACGAAGCCCAGAAAGGAATGATGCGTGCGTGCGGAAGCAGAAGCTTCAATGGAGTAAGCATATGGGAAGAGGAAATGCGCGCGTCGTGGGAATTTCAGAAAATATGAAAGCAGAATTGAATTGAATGAAATGAAATTATTGAAGAAGAAGAACGTTGAAAACCGGTTTCTTTTTTAAATTTGGCACCGGTTCAAACCGGTGCTAAGAATTAAGGTTGGCACCGGTTTTAGTGGAACCGGTGCTAACTCCTCTGATTTCATTAAAATTTTTTTTTTTTTTTTGGAGTTGGCACCGGTTTGAACCGGTGCTAATTAAAGAAGTTGGCACCGGTTTAGGTGAGAACCGGTGCCAACTATGAATTCCCCATTCTCGCCCATTAATGTTGGCACTGGTTTTCAAGAACCGGTGCTATAGGGGGGTGCCTATTTAGTTTTTTCTACTAGTTCTTATTCCTTTCCATTGTTCCTTGTTTCCTATATTTCTTATCATACACCATCTCATAACTTTAAGAACCATTTCTTTAAGTGCCTTCACTTTTACACTTTGTTAGGCA